TCCAAGAGTTCCTCAAAGGTACTGACCATGTCTTAGTCATTCTGTGAACCCTCAATGTCTAGCACTGGATGGTTAAGAGATGTACAAATAATATTTACTGGGCAAATGTCTGTCATTCCAAGGGGCCATCTAAGCAAATGTAGTGGCCAAGATCTTTAAACTCCAACCAATCTATGCATCTGTGTAGACATACACAGAGTCCTAGGATAAGCTAGAGATGTTAGGGATCACAGCACTGGGCATGTCCAGCTTCTATAGTCATCTGTGAAGCAGGCCCTTTTCCCTAGCTTTACAGGAAACAGAACCATAACTGGAAACCAACACTCCAGGGCAAGACCGGGGAGATGAGGAAACACTGAGAGGTCTGACTTCCCCTGGAAAAATGACAGACAGACAGCAAACAAACAGGCAAGGATGGCTAGCTCTGGAGACTTGGACATGTGCTCTTGCCCATGGGGAATAAACCAGCCAGCACAAAGGGATGCTTCACAACACCCACCTGGCACCCTCCAGTGTGGTGGGCCCAGTTCCCACAGCAAGCCTCCTTCTTACTGCTGGAACATTCCATAGCTACAAGGGTCACATTCCTCTTTGAGCCTACTTGCCCCCAAAAGGTAGCTATCCTCTTTTGCCACTGCCCCCTCATCAAAGGTACCACTCAGAACTGTTGTCTGTTTTAACTTTCCCTATTTCTATTCACTGAGAGAACCTGGTATCTAGAAGTATCTACCTACCAATCAGCCAAAGATAAAAGCCTGGGGCTCTCCAAGTCCCCACAGATGTGCTTACCTAGCATCCACCTAGGGTTGTTGTGTTAACAATGGTCTTTAACTGAACAAACTCACTAAACATGGTCTGAACCATCTCACCACTGAAGGTCCAAGATTAGAAAAGATGGAACCAGAGTCTAGAGAGGCTGAAGTTATCTTGGGATAACCTCCAAGCTGAAGCAGACTTTACCTGTAAAATAGGCACAAAGCTTTTTCCTCACAAGGGCAAGGCAGATGGGAAGCCTGAGGCAGCATAATCTGAGAGAGCAGTCACCTTGGAGTACAGCTAGTTCTGACTGGTTGCTGGACCCCACTGAGGTGCTGAAACACACTGGCATTAGTTGCTCCTCGTGTTTCCGTTTCCTCCTCTGTAAAATAGGTTAGTATTCCTGTGTGTCCTACAGGATCCTTGTGATGATTAGCCCAGAAAAAAGGGTGAGAAGTTCCTTTAGCACCCAGCAGAAAGTCTAATTGTTTTTTTATTCACTTAAAGTCTGCAACATAAAAGTCAATGCCAATCTCATTCCTGACACACCACCTCACAACCAAATAGCACCAAAGTACTTCCCATCCCTCTTTTAAGCCAAACTCATACCCTAGAAATCAGCAGGTACCATTTCACAAGTGGTCAAGTGAGAGAGCAGAGTTAGGGCAGAAAGAGACTTCAAATATGAGCGCTGTGCGCTTTTACTTAACCACTGTGCCTCTTCTGGTTCATGAATACTTTGAGGGTAACACAGTGTCTCACTCTTTGGCTGAGCTTCAGGCATAGCATGGCATGCTGGCAGGGTCAGCATGAAAATGCCACAGATACCTGAGGCACCTGAGCAAGATGCTAAGTGTCAGACTTCCTCAAAGTCTGCAGGAGGCTGCAAGTGTCAGAACCTATCAAGGCAGTGAGCCCTGTCTGGGCAGAAGTGGGGTAAGACTTGAGCAGGAGGCTCCACCTGTATGGTCTGAACTCTACGCATCATCTACTACCCTTTTTCTCAGGCTCCTTTGATCTGGATCCCCAAATCAAAGAGTCAAGGCCCCTTTAAACTGTCTACCCGCCTCTCGGGTTTCAGCACTGAATTTGCACACCTCTGGCTGATTCACCTTTAGGTACTAGGGAAATCAGGTCCTCTGCTTTCCTGCCTCCATCCTGCAAAAACCAAAGTGAGACACAATGGACTACCTGGTCCTTTTTCCATAACCTTGCCTTCTGTTCAAACCCCAATTTGAAAGGAAGAAAGCCTCTCCTCAGAGTGAAGTATATAAAACTCCAAATACTTTTTCTATAAAAACTGTCCTACTTGATGGGTGGGTGGCTTAGATGAGTTAGGACAAAACACAACTGTTTCCTTCTTTTTGAGTTACAAGTTAAGTGAAACATAAACTTAGTCTCTGTCTGTCTTTCTGTACCATAACCCTCTCTTAATAGTCAACATCCCTTACACGTCCCAGTCCAAACCTCTAGGAGGGCAAACCATAGCCTTTTACTGTTATTATCACTAACAGCTGTGTATTAAACACTCACAAGGTGTCAGGCACTACAATGTATCAGCTCACATTTATTAAATATTTACAGTGTCAAACAGTGATACTTTACATCAATTAATTCACTTGATCTTCTGAGCAACCATATGTGGTAGCTATACTATTGCCTTTCTTTTACAAATGAGAAAATTTAAGACTCAGAGAAAATAAGTAACTGGCTGGATGCACAACTATCATATGGACTTCATGGAGACATGCCTTCTACCACTGTACTACACATTCTCCTGGCCAGTTACCTGCATGGTCTAAAATGCAACTCTTACCCAGAAGATCTCCGCCTTGGAACCTCCAGCCTATGCAACCACTATGGCATAAGGAGTACCACAGAAGCAAGGGGGCTGGCCTGGAGTCTGATCCCTAGGTGAGGTTTCCAGGGTTATCTCAGCATTTTAGAGTGTCTGCCTTTCCTCCACATTGGAACCCTCTCTCAAATCACTAAAATAATCTCCCTGGGGCTCACAGAGCCCATGGAGGCACTGAGGAAGCCAGCTGCCACCTCAACGTTCAAGCAGTTCTGCCAGATCTATATCAGATCTAGAGTTGTAGCTGAGTGTGGCTGCTTTACCACAAGACCTTTCTCTCCACCTCCTCACTCATCTACACGCATGCACACCATACCCAAAAGGTCTGTGGGATCCTCTCTAGGGCTGTCACTTCCTGACTATCTCCACTCTTCCCCTTCCACCCCTTGTTCTCTCCAACACCTGTCTCTGGAGTGTTTCAGGAAGCAACTCACAGCCTGGGGTTGAAAACACATCATCTCTTGATAAAAGACACAGAACTGGAGGGCAGAAGGGAGTGCCTATATTGGCACTCACTATATAATCAGAAAGATCTGGGGTTTCTCAAAATCCCCCAACTCCCTCCTCCCACCAGAGACCTTTGCTGAAGCAAGCCAACCTCAGGCCTGGAAAGGCTAAAAGGCAGGAAACCAAGAGGAGCGGCTCCTGGCTCCCTGCGGTCACCGGACACAGGACACAAAGAACTGGACCCCAAACTGGCTGCACATTCTTCCGAAGAGTACCTAACTCCAAGTCACTAGGGCTGGGCTTTCTTGAGCCAAGATCCTGCTTACATTAACGTTTTCAGGGGCAAGGGGAGCCTGGCAAGCCCCAGTTCTGGCTTTGGGTGTCTGCCCAACATACCAACATCAAAACTCAACTTCAGGACAAAAACAGGATTCGGAAGGGGGCTTGGGAAAGCGGTAATATCCTCTCAGGTTTTTCCAACCCGAACAAGCCTACCTTCCTCTCTCTTCTGAAGAGGAACATGAGTAGGCCCAGCTGTGCTCCCAAACCAGCCCCATTCCACATCTGCCCAAGTTCTATTTAAAAAACCTGAAAGTTTCTTTGCAAATAAAAGTTAAGCCTTGGGGGCCGACACTGTTTTACGGACTGCGATTTCCAGAGCGTTCTGGCCCCAGGTTCTCGGGTCGGGTGGAGGCCACAGTCTTGGCTCCCCTCGGGAGTGTCCCCTGGGGCTGAGGGGTCCGATGCCTGTCGGTCAGTCTCCAGCCACCGAGGGAGGACTTTCAGGCCTCAACAACACTACCCCCTGCTGGGGGAGGGAGAGTCCTTTAGGTGATCGAAGACCCGGATGACCCCCCGCCCACGGTGACCACCCTTGACTATAGATGGGGGCGGGGTCCGAGAAGGAAAGAACCTGAAAGTTTGCCCAAGTATCTGGGGCTACGAGCCGCGCGCAAGGAGCCGGGCAGGGACCTTGCAGATCCTTTCAGGAGCACAGAGGCCCGGGCGGGGAGGGGGCGCACTTACTGGCACCCTCGATCTTGTCGGCGCCTCGGCTCCACGTGATCTGGCGAGTCTCCAGCTTGACCTGAAAGGTCTTCCGCTCCGGCCGCTGAGACTTCTTGGAGTAGAACAAAGTCATGACGGTGCCCACCTCGAGGCTGCGGCAGAGGTGCAGCACCTCGGCGTCGGAGGGCGCGCCGGGCCCGCAGCCGTTAGCGCAGGGGGACGAAGCGCCCGCCATGGCTCTGGCGCGGGGGCGCTCGGGCGGCGCAGGCCCGGCGGGCCCGGGGTAGACGACGACGGCTGGGGCGGCCGGCGAGCGGGACACAGCCGCGGCTCCTGCGGGCGGACACGGGGCGGGGCCTGAGCGCGGGGGCGGGACAGCACGAGGCACCGCCTCGCCCGCGCGCCGGGAACAAAGGCGCCCGCCGGAGGACCCCCGCCCATCGGCCGCCGCGCCTGCGCCCCGCGACCCCCGGACAGGCCGCAGGCGCGGGGGCGGCGGGGCGCGCCGTTCTCGGGCAGCGCACCCTCGCGCAGCGCGGGACACGGCGTGGGGCCACGGCTGGCTCCGTCACGCACGGCAGCCCCGCCCCCCGGCTGCGGCCCGTCAGTCAGCCGTACATCGGCGGGCCCCTGTCCCCCGGTCCCACTCAGGCCCAGCCGCTGCCGTTGCGCCCCGAGCGCTGTCCACAGGGTCGGCCAGGAGGGCTATCAGTGTGCGACGGGCCTCGAGGTCGCTGGGCAAAGCCCGGTTACCTGTGAGGGCTGCCCGGCGGAGGAAGCCAGGCTGGGGCGCCTCACACCCGCGGTGGCGGCAGCGGCGGCGGGGGCGGACCCTCCGCGCGCCCTCTCCAGGGAGGGACGGGGGCGGGGCCACCCGTGGATTGGCCGGTGGGCTGTGATAGACAGCACTCGTGTCCCGCCCTTAAACTGCGTTTTTGCTGGCCGGGAGGCCGCTGCTGCAAAGACCAGACGCTTACTTCCAGCCCCTGGGGCTAGTGGTGTGGCCTGCTTGGCCACTTCATTCGGAGAAGTCTTCCAGGCGTAAAAGGCGAGTAGAACCTGGGCTGCGCTGTCCGAAGGCGGGACATGAACCCGAAGTGGCCTTCGTCTCTGTCTGGTATCAGTTGCTGCCTGCCCCCCGCCCCACTCCTGTTCCTCGCACTGCAGGATTTAGTCCCTACCTCTTGCACCCGCCGGCGGAGGCTCTCCTGAACCTTGGTTTTCCCCTGTCCTATTTGCCTCGTCCTTCTGTAGGCTTCCGTCTCAGCCTCTGGATTCAGTGTTAAGTCAGTCCTTAAGACACTCTTACCTTTCCCATGGTTTTGCCCTCTACACAGACATAATGACTCTAAACCTGGCTTTCCCCTACGCTCAGTACCCAGACAGATCCATTGCTGCTCCACATCCTCTCTTAACTCAGCTATGTCGCCTGTCCTCCATGTCTCCGTGCAGTTTTCACTTCTCGGAACATGGCCCTGAACTTCTCTAAGTTGCTGAGGCCCCAATGTCTTGTGACTAACTTTGCTTCCCTCTGCCTCATCCCCAGGTGAAAACGAGGCCTCGTCACTCTTCCCAGGACCCCATCTGATCTCACTCAGACTATTTATCCTCATTGGTTTTGCCTGCATCTGTGCTCCCAACTGTACTAAAATGCAGTACTATCATGATAATGCCCCTGCCTAGTGGCGTGACGTTCCATTGCATGTAAAGCCCAGACGACCTACCTAGCCCAGCAGGTTCTTTCTGACCTGGTCCAGACTTGTGCCTCCCCCTTCATCTCACAACACTTGACACTTCACTCTCCAAAGGCAGTGGAGCCTTTTTGCAGTTATTGACTGATTCTCTGTTTCCTTTCTGAAGGTATCTCCTGAACAGCACCACCAGAATTGAGGACACATAGAACACCATGGAGCCCATCGGACATTCCGGCAGTGAAGGAAAACTTACTGCATGTTAGAGGTAAGAAGGCTCACAGAGGATCCAGCTGGCAGAGAAAAATCAAGGTTTTTTGGGATCTCTGTGTCTAGAACTTGTGAGTATATAAGAGCATGACAGGCAGCCTTCGCAGTTGGACAGGAACTAGTGCAAGTGTGTGGGACTGCCTCAGACTTTGTCTTGCTATGTTTTGATTCTCTCAAGTGTGCCCCCAAGAAATTCATAATTTAGTGATACTCAAGCACTTTATCCTAAGAGGAAATAAGTTGAGAAGGACTGCCACTTAGTGATAGCCTGTAAAGTACAAGAGAAACTAATTTGACTGAGTGCTGAAAGGGTGTGCATATGGTCACACCTGATCCTCATAATGACTCTGTAATTAAGGATGATGGTTCCACATTTACTAATGGGGAAAAGATTTACAGTTCCACAACCTCCAAGGCCACATTACTAACGAATGGATTTATTCTATTTGTTTGAAGCAGGATCTTGCTATGTGGTTCAAGCTGGCCTCAAACTCACAACTTTACTCCTGCCTCAGCCTCCCGTGTGCTGGGATTACAGGCATGTACCACCACACCTCACACTAACAAATGGATATTTGAGCCCACATCTGTCTGACTATGCATTTCTATCTCCCAGGAGAGCCACTGGCTTAGGTAAGTCCTTGTAAGTGTGGAAGCTAGCTGGCTAATCCGTACAGAAGATAGGAGGCAAGCCCACAGCTGACTACACACAGGAAACCCAGCAGAATATGGGTGCTCACAGAGTATGGCTTGTAGTGGTTTAAAATGGTGCTGTTTCCTGTCTGCAGCCTATTATGTAAAGCCAAATGTGATGAGAGCTGTAGAGAAAATATAGACAGAGGGCTGTGCAATAAAATACAGTAGACCTACTTCAGGTGAAGTAGACATGGAAGATCTTTTAATTCTTTAGGACCCAGCAGAAGCCCAAAAGATGTGGGTAAATGGCAAGGTAAATTAGTAAGGGTAGGTTGGAGGAAAATACTTTCCAGGCTGGTATAATGGAAGATTCAAAGGCTCTGAGGTTGTTAAACTTAGGGGTAGAAAAGGCTGGTGTTCATCCAGGGAGGGGAAGGCCAGAGAGGGTGATGAGGCCACAAAAGCTGGTGGGGCTGAATGGGGCTCTCCTTTGCCTGCCTGATCTCCAGTTTTCCTGGAGGACCCCTCTGAAATGCTGCAACCCTCATTGAGCTTTCTCTGCCAACTTCAGTAGGCTGCAGGCTGCAATGCATTTTTAAAATCTGTTTCTCTATTTTCTGGGAACTTCTCCATGAAGAGCCCAAACCTCCTCGTATTTACTCTTGCCTCTGGGGCCAGACCTCCAGGGGCTCTTGCGATCACTGCAAATAGGAACTTGAGCTTTCAGTCTGTTTCCAAGCCTGTAATCAGGAAGCTGGGCTCATTTCCTCTCAGGACTTCTGGGCACCATCCCAGGGCTCAGGTACCTCCTGCCACTGACGAAGGGTCAGGAAAAAGAGGGCACACAGAGGGTGGGGCTAGTGTGGGCTTTCCCCAGCTCAGCATATATATGGGTGTGTAGGTGTTGCTGGCAGTTCGTGCAGCTGTGCTATCTGTGAGGCGCAGCACAGCACCCACGAGGCCTATGCCTGTGACATCACCAGGCCAGCCCTGCGTGGGCCTATTTCTGAGAGTGCTTATGTGTTAGTGTGCTGTACCACGTCTGTGCCTGGAATCTGCTTGGGAGACCCAGCCCAGCACCTCGAGTCTATGGACTTGGTCTCACAACTGGTTAATAACCAGTTAGAGCAACGGTTGGCATATTATCACCCTGAATAATCTTGCTTTATCCACAGTGGCTCATTTCTTCCTCATTACAGCTATACAAGATAAGTATTCTTATTATCTCTGTTTAACAGAAGAAAAAACTAAGGCCCACAGAGATGAAGGAACACGCCCATGGCCACACAGCTAATAGGTGGCAGCCCGGCTCCAGACTCAATGCTGTGTTGGTTCCCGTCTACACATGAACACTTGATTGCATATCTTTTTAATCCCTTTTCCAAAGCAACCCTACCAGGTTTTCTGTTTTTAGTTATTTTGTTCAGTGTTACCAAGGATGAGTTCTTCTTTGGGAAGCAGGGTGTGACAGGTTAGTGTGTGGTACTTATCAGGAATCAGCACTGCGGAGAGGACAGGAAGGAAACAGTGGGCACCTGGAGGAACGAAGCTGTGATGCAGGACTGCTGACAGCCTCAGTCAAGCCCTAGGGAGCTCTGTTGTCGGGCATTGGTCTGAAACGGATGTGGATTGTTCTGGGAAGAGCTCAGCCTTGGCCACGCTGTTCTTTGCAGCTGAGGTGATCCTGGTCTGGCAGCTGAAGATTTTCTACTGACGGTTCTCCCAACAGTTAGGCAACAAGTCCTTCCTTAAAGGGGGGTCTGGGCGGCACCACAAATTCATTACTTTCCAGCCCTTTCAAAAAGTTTAGATTACTTAAAAACAAAGAACAAAAACACTGTATTGTATAAATGAGGCATGAGATTATAAAAAAGGATTATGCTACAGTTAAATGGGTTAATGTAGTTACTGTGACTGACACTCAAATGTGGTCTAGCTTCCTGGTAGCTAAAACAGTTACAGTTTCTATTCTGACAACTGATTTCTTGGGGAAGATAATTTTTCTGGGTTTACCTTGTAAGAGAAGTTTTGCCTTAAATAATGGAGAAGGTTTTCAATAGATTAATAGCAAATGCTATCTCAGTCTTTGTTTGTTCTTTATGATCGTTGTCATCTGAGATGAGGACTTAACTGTAATCCTGCCTCAGCCTTGAGTCCTTGTAATGGTCTTGAGTGAATAAAGAAGGCATAATTTAAAAGCGTAACTCAGTGAAGTGCCTCCTACAAAAAAGGCATATTTATAGACAAGGGTCTAATTTGATCCATGCCTAACCCTGAGTCTGTTTTCTTTAAACAGTGCTTTTTAAATTCAGTTGCTTGTGTTCCACATCTGAGAAACACAGGCTGAGGAAGCCCTCAGCACACAGATCGGACTTTGTAAGTATTCACCTCGTTGCACCTGAGCTCCACTCCAGTCTGCAGCATAGGTTCTTGAACCCTGGTCCCCAAATCTGTCTGTGGCTCTAAGTGAGTTGTTGGGCCTCACACTTCTGAGTCATGTCCTCTAGCTTTCCTCCTCACCTAGGACATAGTCTCAGTCCCTCTAGGGGCCGTTTTCTTATTTGAGGCAAAATCTAATGGCTCCCCAGCTTCCAGGGATTCTGCTCTCCACAGGGCCTGCTACTCCCCTGCTGACTGTCCCCACTGATGCTGTGCAGCAGAGGGAGAGCAGACTACTGTGTGCGTTTCCCCGAGGTCAAGTGTGGCAGTGAAGGACAAGAAGGAAAAACCAAGGCCAGGGAAGACCTGCTTTTGCTGCTCCGTTTCTTCCAGCAAACATTCCTCATGGCACATCGAGAGCACTGGACCAACTTCCCACTTCAGAAGAGGGTACAGAAATGCCAAACAGCCCTTGCTGACTCTGTGTGCTGAGGGCCGTGGGAGCACTGAGAAGTGACACGTGGCCTTAGCTGGATCTGTTGGTGGCTGTGGGGGCAGAGCAGAGTGAGATCCATAAATACCTTAACAACCCCTTCCAAAAAGGCCAATACTCATTTTTACAATAAGGTCATGCCAAGGTGTTCTGTGGGGTTTTGACAACTAAAATGCCAACAGTATTAGAAATAAATGATTAAAATATCCAAAGACATTTACTTGGTAATATATATGTATGTATATTATTTAAAACAATTTATTAACTCATTAATAATTGGTTTTTCACATTTGCTGTAATACATTCAACTTTTTCATGAATTGATTTCTATGTACTTTCCCCAAGAGCCACTTTTTGAATACCTAGTATTTTCTCAAAGCATGTCATCTCCACTGGTTTCTAAATTGAGCAGTTTCAAACAAATCAACTCTATCAATAACTTACCTACAAAATGCATCAATTTTTATAGAATTGGATGAGCCTTTTTTTTGCCCCCTATCTGGAGGTGCTGGGGATCCCACTTCAGCTCAATCATAGTGCTACATCCTAACACTTTATGGAAACTTTTAAGATAGGGTCTTGCTAAATTGCCCAGCCTGGCCTTAATCTTGGTTCTCCTGCCTCTACTGCCAGAGTAGCTGAAGTTACAGGACTGAATCACTGCTACAGCTGAATTTCATGTGCTTTGACAAATGTATTGCTTTTTGCAACCTGCACCAAATCAGAATCAGAACATTTCCATAACCCTGGAGTGTTTTTTTTCCCCCCCACTTCTTTCCTTTTAGTATTGATAGAACCCAGGACCCTCACTAACCTGTGTACCCAGCCCTTTTTAGTATTTGAGACAGGGAGGATCTCACTAAATTCCCTCAGTGGGAATCAAATTTTTGATTCTCCTGCATCAGCCTCCCAGTCTTGGGGTTATAGCCATGTGTCACGATACTCAGCTAACATTCTAGGTTTTTTGGTGCTCCTTGGCAGTTATTTTTTTCTAACTCCTGTCCAGCAACTACCAGTTTACTTCGTTACTCCAGGTGAGTTTGCTTATTCTAAAATTTCACATAAATGGAATCATATAGCATGTGTACCTGTGTCAGAGTGTGCTCAGCATCACGATTTTGAGATTCATCAGTGATATTGTAGAAATGCTGTGTGTTCAGTGGAAATTTCAATCTAAGCATAATTACCTCTGTAACATTAGGTTTCCCATTTCTCTTGTATTTATTAACCAGCTTTTTAAAAATCACTGTATCATGAAAAACATTTTATAGACAATCTCAAATGTGTAAATGTAGACAGAATAGTTAAGTGTAGTGAGCTTCCATCATCTAGCCTCAGCAGTTATGTTTTTGCAGTGCTGGGGATCAGACCATGGGCCTGGAGCATAGGAGGCAAGTGCTCTGCCACCAAGTTGCATGTTCCACCCCAGCTTCAGTAATTATGAACTTATAGTCAGTCACTCGTTTCATGCTAAACTCTACTAACTAGGTCCTGTATTGATGCAAATCTCAACTGTCATATATCTGTAAATATTTCAACATTTTCCCAACAAGGATTCTCTTAAAAATATATACACAGGGCTGGAGATTTAGCTCAGCGGCCTAAGCGCCTGCCTTGCAAGCAGGCAGTCGTGAGTTCGATCCCCGATACCAATAAAAAGGAAAAAGACAAAAAAAAAAAAAAAATATATATATATATATATATAATACACATACACTAAAGACAGCCTTTAAAACAAGTTAACAGTCATGTTATTTAGTGAACTTTAATATGTTTGTTTTACACCGAGTACTCAGGATTGTGGAAATAATTACCATGTTAAATTTCTTTGCATCCTTGTTTACAGATTTTGTCAGTGGACTACTTATAAGCATCCAAAACAAGTTTAACTGAAGTCATTTGAGGGTAATGTGTTTTCTCCAAAAAGTGCTTTTGGTTCAAAATGAATGTGTCTTGTATGAAGGAATTTGCAAGGACTGAAATTTAGGAAATAACTTTTTTTCAGAAGAAAATTTTAAAAATTATTTTTCCAGTAGGGGAAATGTGTAGCGTATGTGACACTAGGAGACGGGAACAGGGCTACCTGGACACAGAGCCTTTCACTCTGCCCCAACAAGCTGTGAGTCGCAGGTCCTGAATTGTTCTGGAAATGCTGATGCTGGTCCCTGTGGGCAGCCCTGCAGAGCTATAGTTGGCAGTGAAGTCTGGAGCTCAGGGATAGTCGGGGTGGACACAGGGATAGAATCTGCATCTGGGGTATGACGAATCAGCCAGGGTAAGTGAGACCATGGCACCTAAGGACTTGATAGTAAGAGGTGACTCAGCAGTGGCCTGATAAATGAGTAAAAGCAGCAGCAGATAACGGTGAGAGCTGTTTTTGGGAGTGATTGCGCATGATTCCTTTGACATGAACTGTCCAAAAAAGACTAGAGACTAGGCTATGTGTAGGAATGATTATTAACTAACAAATGGACATGAGGGACCTTACTGGGGTGTCCTTGGCAGCCTGTATTTTACTTAATACAGAGAAGAAGTTAAAGAGCCATCGTTTCTTTGGAGCAAGAGATTGCAGCCAGGTATTTTAACATGTGTGATGCTGGCAGGGGGAAGGCCCAAAACTGATTTGTGGTGAGGGATGCACCATCAAGTCACTAAAATCACTGTGCACGTAAAATGCTGGATTATTTGTAAAATACACTTCAGTAAGAGCACATAAAGGAGTAGTCAACAGTATCTAGTGCCAAAAATTGCTTAAGCTAGATACAAAATTAAGAGCCCATTTATTGGTTTGGTCATTTACAGTCATGTGACTGTGATCAGAGCACGGAGCAGACAGAAGTGAGAAGCTAGTTGTGGTAGATGGGGAATGACTGGGTGATGACTCAGGCAGGTGTTTGTGAAATGGAGAGGAGGAGAGGTGGCAGCTGGAAGGGCTGGGGATTGTGACTTGGCTTTTCACTGTGTTGGGGACTGAACTCAGGATCTTCATGTTGAGCTACATCCCCAGCCCTTTTCATTTTTTGATCCTCCCGCATCAGTCTCAGAGTGCTAGGATTACAGGCATGCGTCACCACGCCAAGCTCCTCCTTTCCTCTCTTCCTTTCCTACCCTGCCCCACTTTTTAAGGTGGCAGAAGCCCAAGGTGGATTGAACAAGCCTTGCTGACCAGATGTGAAGGGGAGGAGAGAAGGAAATGGGAGCGGAGGCTGCACCCAGATGTCTGGCACATGGAAACTCACCCACTCTCCTACCCCAGCATGCAGAGGCTTGACAGTTTACTCAGGACTTGCTGATCTGGCCTGAAAGAGACCTGCTGAGTGACTAAGCAAAGGGCAGGTTTACACCTCTCCAGCCTCTTCTCTGATCCCGTAGCCAGGTCAGCTCATTCCCTGGCTTTACTGTCCCATCACAGTTATGTTGACCACCCTTTAGGTGCAGAGCCTTGTAGAAGGCGGCTCTGTAGGAGAAGCCCTTGCCAAGGAGGTAGGTACTGCTTCCTCCTCAAGGTCTTCTACCTGTAAGGAATCTTGCAACTTGATTTCTAGTTGTGGACAATGGTTTGTACCCTAGTTGTGTCTCAAAATTCTGCTTGAGTCCCAAATGTTTTTGTTTTGGAGATACGGTGTCATCATTCAGACTGGCCTTGAATTCATGGCTGTCCTCCTGCGTCAGCCTCCCAAGTGCTAAGGATTACAATTGTGCACCATCATGCTCACCTCAGTCCACTTTGTTGTCACAGAGCCTCAGCCATGTCCTTGCAATTTGGGTACCTGAAGAGCCTCTCTGTTGCTGGTTCCTGACAATCCATGTCCAGCCACTTTAGCACCACACAAGTTTAATACCTGGCTGCAATCTATTGCTTCAAAGAAGTGATGGCTCTGTGACTTCATTTTGTGTTGAGCTGCCTCCAGTGATCAATGAATACAAGTTGGCAAGGACACCCTCAGTGTCCCTGTAGTGGGCATAGCACCAACCCTACTTCCAGCTTCAGAAAAAATAGACCATCAAAGAGATCACTCTTAAGTGTATCTGCAGGCTAGTAAGAGCCCAGACCTCTCACACTGACTTACTCTGACCACTCTGCCTGCACTACTTCCTTTGACCTGGAGACCTCTACTTTCATGGAATTCTAGACTATAATCTTAGATGGTAACAGGGAAAAAAACCTTTGTGGTGAATGAAGCCAGCTAGGGTACTCAGAGCACTTAGAAATGGTTACAGGCCATATCCTTTGATCCAGCCAATCAATGCAAGAAGTCTTCATACCATCTAGGAAAGGCTTCTGGCATTTGGTGCTCTCATAGTTTCAGTCAGTTTCCATCCTGACTGTAGGCTTAGTGACATAAGCAGACCCAAAAAAGCTGCCTTCTGTTTTGGGCCAACACATGGCAGGCTGTCTAAAAATCTGCCTCCCAAATACACCTGGTTCTATTTGCTCAATAAACCTTACCTACACTAGGTTTCAGGGACAGTTCTTTTGTCACACCTGTTCTTGTGGATTTTCTGTTCCATCACTTTCTGGGCCTGTCCTTAGCTGAGGATGTAGAATTTGGATCTCCTTTTCAACCTATACTCACCATGGCAGACAGATGCACCTCTTCCTAAATCTGGCTCAGTTCAGTTGCTTCTGAAGAGGGCCCCCACCCTTTCTGACCCAAGTAGTCAGACCACATCCCACAGTAAGTCCCAGGTCATTGGTAACAAATACTCAGACACTTAAGCTTCCATTAAGTTGTAGGAATTTATTTTAAATAACCTACAGTTGATTAAAAGGGAATTCATGATAAAAATAGAAGATACTTGAGGAAAGATGTGGGAAATGGACTCTGCACACACACTAAACTAACAATGCCTCTAAAACTAATGATTATAGCAAAAAATGTTTTCACATTAAAATTCTGCTTTTTATGGTTTTTTTCCCCATTTTTTACACAATTACAAAAGAAAAAAATAAAAGCCCTAAAATCTTGATTATTTTTCCTCTGTTGGGCCAAATACTCATTTTCTTCTAAATTTACTGACCTGTGGAACTTTTCATACAATAAAATCTTTCAAGTGAAAGACTGAGGTCTTGAGAAAAAAAAAAAAAAAACGATGGATACCTTAAAGGGTACAGAGAATGCTCCAAACAAAGAATGATGGGAAAATGGTTTTAGTCATTGATTATTTCATTATCCTTAGAGACTCACTCGCCCTTTATCCCTCCCCAACCCCAATTTACACGATCTTTAAGATCAAGAAAAGGTTTAAATATTTTAAAATAATTAAAAAGAAATAAAAATTCACATTTAAAAAGGAACACTCAAGTCAGGAAATATTTTCCCATCATGCTTTTCTGTGAACAGGTGTCTGAACCAAAACACTGCCAATGTCACGACTGCTTCAAGTCTAATGAAAACTGATTCCCATGACGATAGAGTGATGACTCTAACAGGTGCGCTGGGTTTTTGTTCTACTTAATTTTAAATTCCTGAAATGGGGGAGAGGGGAGGGAGTTTAGGAATTTGTTTCTATTAAAATATAGAAGTTATTGCAAAACCCTAACTGTAAAAACGCACCAATATAATCAGACTTCGCATACAGTAGCTAAGAGAATCCAAACACTTCAGTGAAACAGTGAATTTGCCTGGCAGAATGCTGACAAATCCCCATCCACTTGCCCCCTTGAAAATAAACAAAATTCAAAACAAATCATACAGCTAGAATTTTGATATCTGAAATATTTTTAAATAAGTTGTCCATAGGACAACTGGCTCAGTCTCCCTTATAATATCTCCAGGTTTATCTTTTCGCAAAGATGTTGGTTAAGACTTGCTGCCTCTCTCCCTCAGGCACAAGGGCAAGTGAGGCTCACAGTTTATCCATCTTCCCCAAACCACACTGTTCTTTTCACAGAACCCTGCCCCTTCAGACTGGTTAAAACTCGTAGTCCTCATCAGCCATGTCGATGGCCCAGGCAAACTTCTCCCGCTGGGTTTTGTTGAAAATTTTTTCAATTGGGACCCCCCACTTCTTGCACCTGCAAAAAAGGAGAAAGAAAAGGATGTGTGTGACTCAGGCGTGGCCAGCTCAAAGGTGTAGGTTGGAGTATGCTGCCTTCTTCACATCTGTCTGATGAGGATGAGAATGATGCACTTAAATGTTCCAAGGGCAGTTATTTAATCGGGACACCCATCTCTAAAGTAAATGCTATGCCAGGATTCAGCTCAGCTAAATTTAGTGCCTGCCTGGCAAGTGCCAAGGTTGGGAGTTCAATTCCTGGTACACCCTACCTCCCTACAATAAATAAAGTGCTGCTGCACCTGCAAAAATGAGAGACAGATGAGTAAGAAGGCAGAGATGTTAAGTAACATGTCCTTATGTAGCTACTAAGTGGCAGAACTGAAATTTTAACCCAACTAATTTGGCTACAGAGCCCTTAATTTTAAGCACTGTACCAAAATGCCACAGAGAGTTAACCCAAGAACAGCTAGGGGACCAGGGACTCTGAGCAACGTCGTACAAACTTTCCCTCTTAACTCTTGCACCAAAGAATACACAGCACAGTGGAGCTGCTGGCCCAAAGGTTAATTAGAGGTGATAACATCACTTAGGCCTACTAATTAAAAACCTTCACCAAAAAAAAAACCAAACCACACACCTCGCTTGTTTTAGATATTGACTGTATAAGCATATATGAGACAGAATGAAAGGGACTAACGGTGGGTAAACAATAATGTATCTGCCTTTGTTGAAACATCTCTACCTCTGTGTAGGCTGCTCAAGTTTGTATTGTCACTTTTGTGTTTCCTTGCTTGTTCTACCTTTTTCCTTCATTTGTGAAAATTTCATTGAGGTTCAGTTGAATTACAGATGAACGGACTCTCATTTTTTTTTCAGTCTTTAGGTTTTCAAAACAGAATGTAAATACACTCAAAAGGCAATAAAACAAGAATGAATCATAGGACCATCTAGGATGTTCCAATGCATTTGAAGACAAGGGTCAGCAACCAGAACGCTAAGCATACAGCAGAAGCCAGTTTTACTCACGAGGACTGGAAGCATCCTGCTTAGAAATGGCACATGGAGATCAACAATAACCTCAAACTCTTCTACCTTTCTCAAGCCAGCAAAAGGAGCTCTAGAAAGGCTCCATGCTTACCAAGCCACTGTGATCCTAGGGTCCAGATAATTGAGTTTGGAGGTTCCCAAAGCAACTTGCTTATTCTCCTCACGATCTGTAGCCTGAACTTCTAGCTTCATCAACTGCTCCTCCAGTCTCTGCACAGCCTTCTTCTTTGACTCTACTACCCTAGAAGAATGGCAGAGTCAGTAAAAAACAAACCTGACCTTTAAACAAAAACATACTGCAGCTATATTCTGTCTCTTAGAGGCAGTAAAGCTATAAAAGGCCCATGTACAGAGATTTCAAAAAAAATTTTTTTTAAAGTGTGATAAAACCTTAAAAGAGCTGGGTGACCAGGGCCTCTGAGCAGCAGATAAACTTTTTCCTCTTAACCAACCCTAACTTTACACAATACTAGACACATACTTCTTGGTCTTTGCATCTTTCATGACTTTGGCATCAGCTTTAGCACTTTTCAGATCCCTCCGAGCATCTGCTAGCTGATCCTTCTTGGCATCAATCTAGGTGGGGAAGAACAACAGTAAAGTCAGGAAAAATAAGATGAAGAAAAAAAAAAAAAAGAACCAAAGAGAAAACAAGAGGGCTCTACCAAAGGTAGGAGTCACTTCCACAAGTCAGGCTACTTTTCTTTGTGCTTTGTTGGGTAAAAACACAAACCAGTATCTTCATGAAGACACAAAGGAGATATAGTGGGACTGCTGAATTCAGCTGCTACTTGTTCATTCTAGTCTTCAGTGACCCTTCAGGGTTCTAATAAGGCAATATCCTAAGCATGGGTGCTCATCTTTTGATAAAATACTCTGGTGTTAAGACTCTCTGAGAGGAAGGCACATATGACAGATGTTTACTAACTAGACCTTGTGCCAAATTTTAGTCTTTCTTGTAAAAATACTGCAGAGCAAATCCCTTTAGGGCACTGAGGGGTGGGTACATGTATTACAAAATAAGCCCAGCTCATTCCTCACGTTCTGCCAGTTGTCTGGGAACTGCCACTGAAGAAAAAAGGATGTACTGATGAGAATATCTAAGATAAACAACACACGGTGAGGCCTGGCTTTGGCATTCTTTTTTCGTAAGGAGAGAAGTCTGAGGGAACAAAGGAAATCTTGTAGAATCCATATCCATAAAGGAAAAGACATACAGTTCATCCTTTTAGGTTGAAACCCCTAAAGCACCACTGGAAAAATCTCAGTTGCTCTTGAGATGATGCTTACAGATAGCAGCAAGTAATGCCAGGGACCTAAAGCTTGAACCCATGAAGACATGTGGCTGGGGGCAGAATACCATCCTTGTGGTCACCCTGCTGACCTTTGAGGTCAAGAGAACCTCCCAGAGTAAATAACATGCTTGACTCACACACACATTGGGCTGCTGCTAAACCTAGAATTTTCTGTTAGATACACATACAGTCAAAGGTTGGAAACAGAGGCCACCACTGTAAAAAAAAAAAATCAATGAATATTTTTTACTATGAGTGGCTTACTTCCAACATCTATGTTGTCCAAAGCCAAGCTGAAGGAACTAATTCTATACACAAAAGCATCACAGTTGCTACTAGCCAGATTCTTAGACTAGAAATGCAGCAAACCACAATCTTTTAACCATTTCTGTGAATGCTAAATTGGCAGGGTATGTCAAGTTCTCTCAGAGCATCAAAGACACCATTGATTCACTTGGCAAATGTGCATGTGTTTGCTTTGTGGGCACATAGGAGAGGGTTCCTGGGCTTGGAGGGCTCGTCTGGCAGGCAGCCTGGGCTGCCCAAACAGTAGTTCCAGAGTGAGAGCAACAAAAGATCTCCTCATACTCCAGGGAGGGTCTTCTAAATTAGGTAAATAGCACCTGAATATCCGTAGTTTTATTTTTTACTTAAATAATAGCATCAGGAGAGTAAACAATACCAAGTAATTCCATTTTAAAAATGGCAGCAAAAGGGAACTGCTAGAATGGGCAGTCTCAGAGTTCCCTGCTTGCCACCCATATCATCCAAGGATGAGGGAGGTCTATGACTGTATATGCATTCACTGCGTACATGTACATTTTTCAGGCAGGCAACATCTGTAGCATAAACTGTAACGTGTGTAAGTCTTTAGACCCAGGTGTACTATTCCTAGGCATTTACTTTGCAAAACATTTCAACCGAAGGAAAGCACTCTTAGCTTGAAAATGTATATGTAAATCATGCTCCACGCAAGGTTTTTTTTTGGGGGGGGGGGGCAGAGTCTCATTATGCAGTTCAGGCTCACATAGCACTCACTACAGTTGTCCTCAAACTTGTGGCAATCATTTTGCCTCAGCCTATCAAATACTGGGAATACAGTTGTATGCCACAACTCCTCGCTCCATAGCAGTTTTTAAACTCCAGTTGTCCAAGTACTGTACAGAATTACATAAACTTGCATAGAAAAAAATTACAGCTATATTCTCATTAATTTCTAGTTGACACTGATGAATATTTCTTTGCTTATGAATTGTGGGCAAGAAACAACAGTAACATCGATAATATCTCTGACTTTACTAATAATGTTATTTAGATATTTTCATATATTAAAATTTTTGGACAAATATCATCTATATGCATTACTATCCTGAAATTTACAATAGTCATTAGAACCACCTTAAGACTTTTTTGCAGTGCTAAGAATCAAATCTAGCCTGTTGCACGTTAGCCAACTGCTCCAACCCTCAACTACACTGCCAGCCTACCACCTCAAATTTTAATAAGGAAATACATCTATCCTTAAAATATAATGATTGTCTTTCAATAATTGGTTTCCTTTGTAACCCTGTTTTATGGTGAAGTATTTGTGAATTCTTATCACATTAACAAATGAGGACAGGTCAACTAGCCAGTACTCAGACAGAAATACTCATCAGAGTCAGAGAAGGACAAAGGAGAACAGCATCACCTGGTTCGCCAATCAGTCTCTTTCTCTATGGTACAACTGTGACACACAACTAATATTAAACAGATGTTCAATGATGAACTATATAAGAACATGATTGATCATCTTTTAAATCTTACAACAATTTAATTTGAAAATTGCTGTATTTCTCTCTCTTCTGCAGCTTTGGAGATCAAACTGAGGGCCTCATGCAGACTAGATGAGTGCTCAGCCACTAAGCCAGCTCTAGTATTTCTACGATAGAGCAGTAAGACTCCCTTTATATCCATTCTCCTTGTGTACAATAATAACAATAATTAGAACTGAAATTAGCACTTCAAAATAGTGGTCAATGCTGAACTTCTGTTCAGAGCATTAAGATCTGTTGAACAATGAGTACTCCTGATATTTTTAAGTATCATATTGTCTCCATTTGTTTATCTTTTGCTCCAGAGCAGATCAAGATTGACCTGCTGATATCCGAACCCAAAAGGTTAGATTACAAAAGTCTCTCACTTTTAATATCTGCTCAAAACTGACATAGTTCACTCTGTGACCCCATCATCCAGACACAACATACCTTAGACTGCAAGTTCATCATAGACTTCTCAAAAGTTTTTGGTGGTGCCCTCTGATGGTTACAAAGAATCGCAACAGCTCGATTGGCCCGGTTGTAAGACAGAATCTTTGCTGGGATGTTCTCATCAGCTGTAAAGAAGCATGACAATAAGAGAATTCATCTGTACTACAGATAAAGGTCATACACAAAGTAGATCCTCTAGTGGTTTATATCTTGGTTGCATTGATATGATCAAGCTTCTGCCAAGCCATAAAGTCAAAATTTTATAGTCCATGGTTTTCATAAGAAAACGACAGTAGAAGTTTCTGTGTTAAGTCTAACCAGAATAAATTCCTATCAGAAGAGGAATTCATTCATTCATTCATTCATTCATTCATTCATTCATTCATTCATTCATTCACTCATTCACTCATTCGCGGTGGCATTCTCAATGCTGCCTATGTTAGTTCCAACTTCTGGAATCAAGTGATTCCCCTGCTTCATTCTCCCAGCATGCAAGGCTTATCTCTAATATTTTATAAAATTTTTATTCATACATAATTGCAATACGTAACGATTGCGTTCATTATGGGGAACTGATACACATATGTAACACATCTCAAACCCTACCCCCCTTTTTGACAAGCATTAGATTCATTTATTTCTTATAAATCCTTATAAAGTTGATTCTTCAAATAACCAGACTAATAACTCAAAAACCATATAAAACATCTAAAGCAATTATGCTAAATCAAGGTATACTTTTAGATACACTGTTCATGCTGGATTACAATAATTGTTTTTCCCCTTGTCTGTTTTTTTTTTTTTTAAATTGGTGTCGGGGATCGAACTTACAACCACATGCTTGCAAGGCTGGTGCTTACACCCCTGAGCTAAATCCCTAGCCCCCTGGTTTTACTTTCTATTTATGTATTTTCTCACATAACAGCATACTACAGTGAAAGGTCTACATTTCTTTCCACCCAAGGAATCTGGCCGGGGAAATTTCTGCTTGCCTCATTTTCTGCCACCCACCTACTGTCTAATGTGACCACCAAAGAAAACATGGAATAGTGACAGAAGTTTGTAGAGGAGAGAAAGATGGGGGGACCTTAAAGTTTTTATGTTTAAGGTACAAAACACTATGTTGTTTAAAAGAAAAAAATTACAAACATCATCTAAAAACATTTTCTGCTTACACTATGTGGCATTATTTGTATTTATTACCCTAAACATACCATCTCTAGCTTATCTGGCTAATATTCTAAGACTATCTGACATATTTACAGAGGTCAGTGGAAATTTTTTAGTGACTGGGCCCCAGGGAAAAAAGCCTATAGATCTTGCTGATATCTTCTGTAGCTAGTGTTGAAAACTTACTTACTTATATTGGGGGTAGAGAAGACAGAAACCTTAGCGAAAGGATATGCTCCCATATTTTTTTTTGGTAACCATGACAACTTTAACAAAAAATCACAGCATTATGTCTTCACCATGGGAGCTGTTAAATAACATAATATATACAGAACACAAAATGCAGGCATTTTCAGAGCAGATGGAATGCTCCTGTCAGCATTCCACGAAATTAATCTAGAAGTTGGGGTAGGAGCAAGAGAATAGCACAGAGCTTATGTTTATACAACTAAGCCTTAACTCTCTGCTAGAAGACTAGAGGGAAAAATTTTGGTCACGGCCCTGGTAAAAAGTATGGCCAAGCAATACTTACGGGCTGTGAGTTCCTTTAGCTGCTGCTGTAGCGTGATGGAGGCATTGTATGTACGAAACACCTTGGCTGTCAAGCCCTCCATGAGATCCTGAAGGTGCTTATTTAGAATACCAGTCTGAAAGAGACAAAGCAACAATAAGGACATGCAAACTGAGATGAAAGACACACAATGCCACCCGCTCTGGCAAGACCTAAGAGTCAGTGATACCACAATTAAGAGTCAAAATCTTATCAAGTTTACTGGCTTTCAAGAGGGAAGAAGAAGGAAAGTAATTCTACAATACAGGATTTCACAATGCCTCCCTCCTAAAGTACAATCTGAAACAAGACTAAAACAAATTCGTCTTGCCATAGACAGCAACAGCAAATCTTGGTTTTTATCTGAAGTGGCAAGACATGCAGACAATGGAAGGCTCCACAGGAAATGGGACAATAAAAGGTAAAGCTGTCTGCTCCATTCCTCAAGGCAGTCATGGATTCACTGTGTGCCCTATGGGACTAAGAGTACACCAAACGCCACAGAAAAGGCTCAGCTAAAGGGAGAACCTAATCAACCACCTGGCAGCCCTCTCTTTTAAGAGTTTATGAGGCTCTGCCTAGGTGTCCCTTCAGCTAACTCAGTGTGCTTTGTCCACTCACATTAAGTCTATCAAACAGATCGTCCTCAGGCTGCTTGTTCTCCATAAATAACTGCAAGTTCTTAAAAACCTAAAAGAAATAAGTGAAATTCAATTATTATTTTTAAACCTCTTACTTTAGAACTAATTTCAAATTTATAAAAACTTGCAGAAAAAAAGATACAAGAACCACTCATATATCCTTTAAGAGATTCTTACTATATTTATATTTATGTATGTTCATACATAATTATCTAAGGCATTTTTAAGTAATTACATTACAGTCGTTTAGCAATAAAGATTTCAGTGTGTGTCCTACGAACAGTAACACTCCTTTACATGTATAGACATTTACACTGACACACATACTGTTGCCTATTGGGCTGGTTACTAAAGCCATAAACCAGTGATGGCACATTTTTTAGGACTTTTAATGACACAAACAGCCCATTGGAGCATGTGTCCCATAGGTTCACCATCACAGCTATACTCTTTAAGTCTGTTGTTCAGCATAATAATGTGGGAAAGAGTAAGCTGAGGGTATAGAGCTGTAGCACCCTCTACAGTCATGACTCGAGATTTGGAAATTAAAGAGTTACCATTTTACTCAGTTAGAAATTGGTGTGAAGCTGTGCAACACATGCAAGAGGGTAAATGTGCAACATGACCAAGGGATGCTCTGTTATGGTTAAATCACAAAACAATGTGCCTCAGTTCAGTCTTACATTGACCTTGCTGTAGGGGCTAACTCTCCTATGGCAAGGCTCTATGGCCCTCATGCCCAGGAAGACATTACAAGTTGGGGGACAGGGAATAAAAAAAGAGGTAACTAGCACACCAAGCAATACCTTCCCCCCTCCTCTCAAGTCATTTTTGCAAAGTGCCAAGGATACA